TGTTTGACTAGCTCTCTTCCTAGGAAGGAACTCAGGCTAGAATGTTAAGTGAATGAAGCCAAAAAACAAGGTGAAGAGCAGTAGATAATCTAGACATGAAGGCTGTCTCTGGACATGAAGGCTCTCTCTGGACTTCTAGAAACACCTAAGCTGAGGCTACAAATTTGAATAGATCATAAAATAGAGTGTCATTGCAGCTCTTAGTGGCCAATGAGAAGCTTTCCCAATTTTAGGTAAATGTAATAAAATGTTTAGATTTCGTGTGTTTCTCTTCCTTCATAAGCATTCTAGTTCCTTCCTGAGCCCAATTTTGGCTAAAAAAAAAGTATTTTAGTAGTACACACAAATCACAGCAAGAGCCACAAAATCCTCATGGGACGAAATTGCAGGGCAGTCAGTTACACACAAGTGAGTAAATTACAGCTCCACCAAGTGACAAGTCCCCAAGTGTCATGGACACTCAGGCTGGCTTTGGATGAGTGGAAACCAGGAAGTCTAATTCACAGAATCCCAAACGACTGCTTGTATGTGGTTTAGGAATTCCTCTGTGGCAACAGTTTTAGACAAGACTGGAGAGAAATACATTCAAAATGGCAACAGTAGACATCTGTGGGTATTGGGGATTAGTAGTGATTTTCATGGTTTTCATAAAAGGTATATAACTTATCAATATTTCCATATTAGCATTTGGAATCAAGAAAGAAAAAGAAAAAATTATTTACCCATCAACAAATGAATGGCTAGAGAGACAGTGGTATATTCGCACAATAGAACACTACGCTGCATTGAGGAACAAGGAACTCATGAAATATTACACAAAATGGGTGACCCTGGAGGACATTATGCTGAGTGAAATATCTCAGTCACAAAAAGATAAATATGGCACAACGCCACTGTTATAAAAGAGGGCTGACATGATTAGATATTATTGTTATGACAGGAGTCCAGAACAAAGGTAGCATAGTGGAGTGGACTAGGAGGGAAAGATTGCATAACAATGAAAGAATTTTTCTTTTACTTTTCAAAAAGGAAAGTGAATTGGGGGGGAGGGGTAAGCAGGGAGAAAAGTGCAACAATGAATGACTGAAAACCCTAAGTCTGTAAATTTTGATGAAAATAAATTTAAAATTAAAAAATATTTAGAAAAGATACTGCAAAATTAACTAATACGCAATGATGGCAGCAATGGGATGTTGGTGGTGAGTAGAAAAAAAGAGGGAAAAGGAAGAGAATTAGAGGAAAAGTAAATAAGGAACAACAGTGACAAAAATGAGAGAAAGAACTCAAAACTCATTGCCACCTAGTCAGCCCGAGTCAACTTATAGCAGACTCTCCAAAGACTGTAAATCACAAGAGCTGAGATTTCCCATCTTTCTCTTTCAGAACAGCTGGTGGATTAGAACCACCTGCGGTTTGCACAAGGCACAAGTCCTTGCACACTAGGCTACCAGAGATTCCTAAAGACAGGAGAAACAAAAAGAAGAATGAGAAAGAAAAATAGGGCAGCTGGTAAGGACTCAGATATTTTAGAGATGCCTCTCTGTCACTGGCTTCCTGTGCCTACCTTCAAGACCATTCTTGAGTCAACACAATTTCAAGAAATAGTGTATGTACATAGGAAGTTATATTTTACTTCCTAAAACTAAAACAACTACTGATACATACAGCCATAAGGCAGAGGTTGGAAGGAGCCATGGATACAATTATAAGAAATTATTTCTAAATGTTTTGATCATTGAAAGGCTCTTAATTGTATGAAATTATTATTGATGATACTATTAAGATCCTAACTTCAAATCCATCATATTGACTCATTCTAGACCAAGACAACTATTTTGGTCAATATAAAAACTAGCTGTCAGGAATAATGGTCTTCGCGTTCAATTTTTCTGGTTTTGTATTGGTTGTGTAAAAGTAACCAATTTCTTATCACAGAAGAGCAGTTACAAGTAACATTTTTTTATTAGCTCATCTTGTCAATCTTTTGGCACATATTTATCAGTTAACAGTCAAAGAAAAGACTTAATTATGAGAGCTATTACATGAAGTATTTATCCATTGTTCATAGGGTCACTAGGAGTTATAGTCAACTCCAAAGCACCTAACAATGATATTGCCTTTTAAAAATTGCTACAAAAATGTTTATCATTTAAATAATTTTGAAAAAATAGTTGTTTCATATATTTTAATACCTTGTTTTTCATGGACCTTTGTTTAAAAATACTTTAAAACCCATAAAATGAAATAAAAGGAATCAACTCTGTTGAACAATTTACTGTATAAGAAGAAATATGCATATCACCAGTTTAAAGTAATACCTCTCCTTCACACTCCCAACTAGCGGATGAGAAAACCAAAGCCCAGAGAAGCAAAACAATAAGCTAGGGAGAGAAACGGAATGATTTAGTGCTCTTTTTTGCTATCAACGGGACATCTCTGTTTTACTGGAAATACACTTATTTGGCAATCCTGAAAGAGATTATTCCTCTAAATAATATACAGCAGGCCACTACTCTGTTAGGAAATGATAAAAAAGCATCTCAATGGCTAGGTAACAAGTTGCTTTTGAAATGAGAGGGGAAAATATTACATTACCAGTAAAATACCCCTCTGTGTTTGTGTGTGTGTGTGTGTGTGTGAGAGAGAGAGAGAGAGAGAGAGAGAGAGAGTGTGTTTTAAGTTTTGTACACAAAAGCCCTGGCTTAATATCATGTGTCACTCTTAATTCTGTGATTAGAAAATTAAACTAGTAGTTAGAGAACAATCTCTTGAGGATTTGATTATTCCACATCTAATGGGAGGGTAGTTGTACGTTAGAGACCCTTCCATCTGCTTTTCACTGACAGTAACTTTTGATTCTCCCTTGATTTCAGAAGAGTCACTTTATGTTCATATATGAAATTGAATACAATGATTTTCACAGAAATCCTGAAGTAGCATAGCCTCAAAGAACCAAATCTACTTAAGTATTTTGCCCATTTCCTAGCTGTAAACACTAATTTTTACAGCTTTGTTTAATTACCTCTTCGATAAATGAGCAGCTTCCTGACATTTACCTCTGACTTTTTTCCTTTACCCTTTTCCCACTTTTCTTAATTTGAAGGAGCCACCTGTCCTAACATTTATGCATGTGCTGTATCAGATTTTTAAAAATAACATAGGGCACAGAAAAAGCATAAATTGCACAAACAGATTTTTCTCTGGCCTTTAGCTTTTGGATAATGAAAACTATGTAATAACAGTTAAGCCAACTTGAGAGAGTGGATAAAGATCAGAAGGGAAAAAGAAGTATTTGTTTCTTATTATTGATTTTTTCTCCCCTTAAAATCAACAAAAGGCTTTGACTTTAAAACTCTTGCATGGGTGCCTTGTCACTGAAATTTCTTTCATTCAGAGGAAATTTTTTAGACTTATGGCAAATGAGTCTCTTTTTTGCCAAGAAACACACATACATTTACATGGAAGGATGTGGAAGACCTTCAAAGTCTATGAGTGAGTCGGTGTGTCTGAATCAAGGTAACTGTGCTTGTCACACACGGGTCTTGCTCTTACAGGTATGGACAGCTAAACCTAATGAGTAAAAAGCTTTTGTAATAGGGGTGAATAGCACAGACTATAATTATCTTGGCTAAAAATACTTCCAACTCTGAATGTTTCCAAAACAAAAGCAATCCAAGCAAAATGTTGACACCTCATTCAGTTCTATACTAAACCCAATTTTAATACAGAATCGTCTAGTATAATATGAAGCCAAATGAAATTTCATCTAAATTTTATGGCTAGAAAATATCTTTTTCTGCTTCCTTATTGAAATCTTGTTATTCTGAATTCACATTCTAGTTAGGAATATGGTGCTTGGGAGTTAACGAGTCTGGAACAATTTCACATTACATGTAGAATTTACAATATGTGGACATAGGGCAGAAGAAGCACCAGAAGTTGTTTATTTTAAAAAAGGTAATAGAACAAAACCCAAAGTAATATTGCATTTCTTACAAAGATAGGCTGATTTATATCCATATTGTTTTTGAAGTATTTGAACTATTCAGAGCCTTGCTTTTATGTATGAATAATTATTGTCTGGTGGCCTTAATAATCAGCATGGAGTTATTTCTCATAAATTCAAGAGTTTTGAAAAAGGATCCTAAATCTCTTGTCATTCATGAGTATTTCTATAACGGTAGAGTTTTCTCATTAGAAGTTGAGGATGAGTAAGCCAAGTTACTAAATTGCATCCCCTAGTAGTGTGGTAACTCCGGAGTAAATATCATGAATATGAAAAGACTCTTGTCCTGTATTTCCATGACTACTCATCATTTGAAATATTGCAGCAGCAGCAGCAAATAATCTGCAGATGAATTATCGTTTCCAAAAAGCAAAGTTACATGTGAGAGTATCTCTTTACAGTTCTTCATTTGAAAACCCTTTAAGAAAGATCTGACTACTACTGCAAATAAATCCTGTGTCCTCTTTAACAAAAGCTGTATCTGCAAGCGTAGCATGACTATTCTAGACTGGCTGTGATTGAGTTCATTAAATGTAAAATACCTGCAGGCTAGCACGGCTCACCTGGGACCCTAAAATATAGTCTATTCTGATCATGGCACTGATTGGCTAACAGGTAAAAATCCTGAGAATACCATGCTACCATACTGATTAAGAGCATGGCATAGTTCACTGGTCTGCACTTTACTAAGAAGAGAACCAAATCATTTGTATGAAAAATTAGAAAATGACTCTGAAGAGTGCTTCACATGCTGCTTGAAAAATAGAGAACAAATATGCACACCCTGATCTTACAACCACCACCCCCATCCAGATCAGGCATCATACAGTGGAAAAAGCAAGGGGCATGGGTTCTAATTACATGTGATTAGGAAGAGACACTGGAGAGCAATTCTTATATTTATTTTTTAAAAATTTTTAATATAAGCAACGTTTTCCTGAAAAAGCTAATTTGGAACTTGGTTAATAGTTAAGAGTGAGTAAATCTGACTGACCTGGCTGGGCAAGGATCCAGATTGCACTCCTGCAGCTTGGGCTTGGGCTTGACGTTCTCTGGGTAATAGTGACAGTATTGGTCAGCAACCATGCGGTTGCTTCGAAGGTCGTAACATTCAGCAGAAGTCAGCTGGTAGCCTGGAAGAGCAAAGCATCAGCCAAATGTGAGCCCACATGCCAAGGAAGCATCTTTCTTTCTGATTATTAATCATTTTATATTAATGCGAATCATCCAATGCCTGGATCATGTCAGGAGACAGAAACATACCTGTAACTGGAAGGCTCATTAATAGATCTCAAGGGCTATATTTTACTCCTTATTAATCCACATAATATTAACAATTATATTAAACACTAGGGCTTAAACAGCCTAATTATGAGATAGTCTGTAAGAAGTATTCTTTTGATTTCTTTTGTATACTCTAAAAGTTTAATGTGGAATTCTGAATCTAACAAAGATCATTGGAGCTTATCAATCACTTCATAGAAGGATGATAATCAGATAACTTGGGCAAGGGAGAATAAATCCTTCTAGCTATGGGAAGCCAAATTTCATACTAAATATTTGTAATAAACCGAATGCTACTTCAGGTTTTGAGGGAGGCTGATACAAGCTGGAATTCACACTCAAGCACTAAGGCAATCCTTAAATGTTACTGGGGTAGACACTAAGGCAATCCTTAAATGTTACTGGGGTAGACACTAAGGCAATCCTTAAATGTTACTGGGGTAGACACTAAGGCAATCCTTAAATGTTACAGGGGTAGACACTAAGGCAATCCTT